GCTGCTGCTGCTGCTGCTGCGGCTGCTGCCGCTGTTTCAGCTGCTGCTGCAGCAGCTGCTGCTGCAATCGTGAGACCCCCCCCGATTAGAACCCCCACAAAACCCCATAGGCTTCAAGGGTTTGCTGCTTTCGCGCGCCGTCCTTGGCTTAGGGTTTAGCTCCTAGGGTTTAGGGTTTAACTCCTAGGGCTTAGGGTTTAGCTCCTAGGGTTTAGGGTTTAGCTCCTAGGGTTTAGGGTTTAGCTCCTAGGGTTTAGGGTTTGCCTGCGAGGGTTTAGGGTCTGAAGGCCGCCACGAGAAGAGAACTCTGCTTGCTGCCAAGCTCCTGTCGTTGCTCCGATTGCTGCTGCTGCTGCAGCTGCTACTGCTAGCATTACTGCTACTACTACTACTACCCTACCTGCTGCTGCTGCTGCTCCTGCAGCAGCAACAGCTGGTGCTCCTGCTGCTACTCCCGCTGTGTAGATGAGCCACACACACGGAGCCCGATGCAGTGCTGCTGCTGCTGCTGCTGCTGCTGCTGCTGGCCTGACCACTCTCAGGAGCAGCAGCTCAATGAGAACTTCGTTTGGTGCAGCAACTGGAGAAGCCGACAGAAGCACCGCCAGCAGCACCTCCTGCTGCCGGCCTTCCTCTTAAATGCTGCTACTGATATCGCTGCGATAGTTGCTGCTGCCGCCGCCGCTGCTGCTGCCGCTGCTGCTGCTCTGCTGGCGCTGTTGCCGCTGTTGGTGCTGCTGCTGGCGCTGCTGCTGCTGTCTGCTGCTGGTGCTGCTGGCGTTGCTGCTGCTGCTGCTGCAACTGCTGCTGGTGCTGCTACTTCGGCTGGGGCTTGTGCTGCTGCTGCTGGCGATGCTGCTGATGCTGCTGCTGGCGATGCTGCTGCTGCTGGTGCTGGCGCTGCTGCTGCTACTGGCGCTGCTGCTGCTGGTGCTGGCGCTGCTGATGCTACTGGCGCTGCTGCTGCTGCTGCTGGCGCTGCTGCTGCTACTGCTCATTTAGCCTCAATAAAACCGCCGCGCCAGGCGCAGCTGCACGATAAAACCTGCTGCAGCGGATGCTGCTGCTGCAGTAGCTCTGCTGCCTCTACGCTGCGTGCTGGCGTACAGCAGCAGCATCCGCAGGAGCAACTGCTGCAGCAGCAGCTGCTGCTGCTGCTTCAGGGTTGATTAGAAGTCTGCCCAGCCTGCTGCAGCTTCTTCTGCATTTCCTATAGCAGCAAAGAGCAGCATATTTGCTGCGGTGCCGACACAGTGTAGAGCCACGTGGCTGAGGGTGCCCTCGAGATGACGCCTGTCTCTAGCAAAGCTCCAGCTGAGTGCATGCAGCCCCAAGACTACTAAGAGAAAAAGCAGGTAAGCAGCAGAGACTGCAGGAGGAGCAGAGGAGACAGCTACTGAACAGAAGATAAGGATGACGATGCGCGCTACAAATATATCTAATGCCCTTCGCCAGCCAAGACGAGGCTTTGTCCAGTGCAGCAAAGAAGTAAGAAAGAGTAAGAGAGACAGATACCCCATGTATATACACCTCAAGTAAAATGCTGCTATAGGGTTTAAACATAGGCCGAGAGCAGACAGCAGCAGCAAACGCTCGCAGTGTACAGGCAGGTACCTGCCATCCTTATCAACAACCAGACAAGCACCTTCACCTGCTTCTTCTCCTTGACTCTTCGGCAGCAGCAGAGACAGCAAGTTGGGTCTCCCTTCACCTACAGCCTTCTTAGAGGGGGGCCCCCCTTCTAAGGGGGCCCCTGCACCATTTGCAGGGCCCCAAGAGGGTACACTGGAGGGACACCCGGGCCCCACAGGGGGCCCCTTAAACATAGGGGAGACCCCTGCTGTCTTAGAAGCAGAAAGGGCGGGGGGCCCCTCATCCTGTTGCTCTTCTGTGGTGCAGCAGGGGCTCGCTGCAGCTGCAGCTGCAGCTGCTGCTGCTGCAGTGCTGCAGCTGCAGCGGCTCCAGGGGGCCCCCAAGAGGGCCCCCAGAGGCAATTGAAGAGAGAAGTTAAAGGGAGAGGGGGCCCTCAAGCTTATAAACCCTTCTCCAGGTGTAAAGAGAGACAATAAAGCACGAGGCAAAGTAGAGTCCCCTTGAAGAGTACCAGAGGGGCCCCCCTCTAGGGGGGCCCCCACCTCAGTTGCTGTGCTGCAAGGAGACATACTTGATGCTGCTGCTGCACATAGAGACCCTCCAACAGAAGGTGAAGTACGGCTGGGGGGCCCTCGAAGCCCGTGGGGCCCCCTGGGAGCAGCGGCTGCTTTCTGCGTCATGTTATTACGAAGAGAGACAGATAAAAACAAATAAAACAGTTAGAGAGGTAAATAGAGATAAAGAGACGAAGTTAAAAGAGAGACGATACAGAGAAAGACAAGGAAGAATATGCCCCAGTTAAGACCAATGGTGCACGGATGGAGGCAAGCACTGCTGCTGCTGCTGCTGCTGCTGCTGCTGCTGCTGCTGCTGCTGCTGCTGCTGCTGCAACTGCTGCTGCTGCTACTGAGAGGAAGCAAGAGTCAAAAGGCCTGCTAAGCGCCTCCTGTTAAAGATTTAAAACTATTTATACAGAAGAACAGAAGCAGAAGGAGAAAAATAATTCATCAGTGGCACACACGGGCGCACAGAGTTGCGCCATACGGTGCAGCACGCACAAGCAGCAGCAGCAGCAGCAGCGGCTGCTGCTGCTGCTGCTGCTGCAGAAGGTGCTGCTAGTGCTGCTGCTCTCCTTCCTTCTCTGCAGCGCAGCAACTGTGTTGTTGCTGCAATTGAAAGCCTCTCATTTAATTGAAATTTAATTTGTTATTTTATTTTATTTTTAATTAATTATTAATTAAAAAAGAAGCTCTGCATGCAAACAGTCACTGGGGCCCCCAAATGGGATGAAGGGGCCCCAGGAGGTGCTATCAATCGAGCTTAGTTATTTTTATAAATAACCTCTGAAAGCTTTATTTATCTGTTTTTTGTTTTTATATTTATTTATTTATCAAAGATTTTCTTCTTTTTGCATGCAAATACTTCGGGTGTAGCTACACTGAATTTGTTTCGTATACCCAATGTTGTATGACTATAGACTATGACTCTTTTTATTGAATTTTGTTTAAATAGAGTATTTTACTTTTATTTATTTTTATTCTTATTTTATTTTTATTTGTTTAATAGAAGTTGTTTCTTCCTAGGGTGCTTTATGAATATGTTTTCTCAAATTAAAATTGATATCCCCAATACATCGAAATTTATATTTAAATTAAAATAAATATATTTATTTATTTAGAAATTTCAAAACTAGACGAAAATATTATATTTTTAAAATTAGGAACATGTTAAGTCGCTGCATGCATGCACACATATCAATGGATATTGGGGCTGTCTATGCCGATCGCCTTAAGAAAAAAAGTAAAATGTTTGACAGTGTTTGAGAGAGCGTAGCACTAAACGAGCCCGGCATTCAGCAGCTGGGAGAAGGCAACGAGCACTTCATCTATTTCTTTTGCAGTAAGCATGGTTGAGATAACAGGTGCAGATAGGAGGACCTTAAGAAGAGCTTAGGACTGCAAATTTAATTATATATTTAATCAGCCCAGTTGGAAGGCAATAAAAGAACCATATAAATACCCTGGGCCCCCAAGCAACCTGAGGTGTAGTGATGACGCAAAAAGCGATAACAGCTGCACCTGCAGATCTGCATCGAGTCACCCCTAAGCAAATCCATGCTCGTTCAATTATTATTATTATTATTGATAATAATAATGATGAAGAAGTGCTAACGCTACTGGATGTGGGGTGTAGAGTAAATATGATATTATGATATCTGGGCGAACGGAGGGGATGTGCAAAGTACTTCTCCTTTTGCTGGTGCAGCCACTGTGGTTACGCCTCTTCGAAAGGTATAAGGGAAACAAGAGCTGTTGAAACGCTTGGCATTCGATGCGGATTTAATAGAGGGTTACTTTGCTATGACAAGGGACGTTAAGTTAAAATAGACGCATGCAGCATATTATTTATCGTATTGTCGCTAAGCCAGCGGAAGTTGCGCATGAGGCCCCTCAGCAAGCCACCATCAATATCTATGTGCCGGGAAGCGAGCAGCTCTCACCGCTCGCAACACCATTTATATTCTCTACTGTAGTAGATGTATAATCAGTTTCGCAAGAAGAAAGTAGCTAAGATTCTCTAACGCAGTGTTCCGGGCACGAGTAGAAGCTGCATGCACTCCGTCGTGATGGTCTTACGAAGACAGCGGTTTGAGCGTATTTAAATTGGTTATTAAAAAACTAAAAGATTGCTTTAATATTTAATCAAGGCTTCCATTTCAGCTTGACGCCGGACAAAGCGCAGCAGTGCATAGAAGAGCTGAAGAAGAGTTCTTTGGTGTGCTAAAATAACAAAAAGACCCCAGCAGGTAGAGCACCACCACCCACTAGACAGCACACTGCATAACACCTCCGACGCACTTCTCCAGGCTATGTTGCGAGTTACAGGAGACCTTTTTGCGTCTTTGAGAAGAGGGGGGCAGGGAAGAGATGAAGCTGTGTGCGAAAGAGAAAGACAATGTTAGACCCTCAAGTAACTACCGCCTTCGGAGACAGTCTGGTGTTGGTAAAGAACAAGGATAGGAGATGGCCGGTGTACGTACACTCCAAATCCTTCAATAAAGTCAGAGTTAAAAAATGTTTCCGATGCCTCATATCGACAAACTGCTTGACCTCTTGCAGGGTTCATAAGCAGTCTACTAATCATTTTTCTTCGGTAGCGCTATCTTGGAGATACAATTAAAACCCAGAGATAGGGACAAGAGGGAGTTTCTTTTCAGCAATTGCAAACTTAATTACAAGCGTTTGTCTTGAAGCCGTTTACAAGTTGTCTCGTGAAGTCGTGGCTAGAGGAGACGGGCATACTTTATTTCCCTGGGGCTTTGGTATTAATGCATTGATACTGATTCTAGTATTTTTATTTTAATAGATGGGGTGTCTTCTGTTTGTCAAGAGAAGGAGAGCCGACTTCCAACACTGTCTCTGATGTTAGTGCATTTGTTTCTACTTGCCCCGACGTTGGATATTGCAAGCCTTGTAGGATAATATATATATTATCTTACTTTATATATAGAAATATATATAATATAGTACTATATATATAGTTAGACAATATTATATATATATAATCTGATAACGGGAGTTGGGTCTGCATGCATTAGTTGCCGCGGCGTGCAGCATAGACTGCATCAATTAACGCAGTAACGAGAACCTTCGATCTGATATGAGAGCTGTCATGAGCTGCAACAGAGTCAAAAATACCTAGAAGAAGAATTAATGAAGAATAGATGAGCTCCTCTCTACTTGGGGAAAGAAGGTAGCCAGTGAAGAACTGCGGCACATGCAAACCCACATGAAAACGCAGCCAAGCCCCAAATTAATGCATGCATGAATGCAATAGACGGGCGCTATGCACTTGTTTGAATAAGCAACTCAGGCACAAGCAGAATTACATATAACAGCCTCACAAAGAACAAGCTACAAGTGCAGCAACGTTTAGCTTACAGGGTGTCTCCTCACCTCAGTAGCTTTAAGCCCTCAGGCTGCTGTCCCCCAGCAATCCTGGAGACAGGCTGAAATCAACTTATTTGAGAGTTCTTCCCTCAAGGTTTTTTGTCTCTTTTGCTGCTCATGATGGTCTTCAGTTGCAGTTGAAATCTCTACTTACACCGAATGCATGCACCGAGTGTACAGATACCTGCAGCATTATATAAGCTACCAGCTGCGGCCTTTAAATCAATGAAGCCCGACTGCACTAAACAACAGTAAAAAGAGTCTGTTAATGAATTGGGAGACAGCGTGAATCTGTTTATAAGAATTATTATAAACAGCTTCTCTCGCTTTTTATCTTCAGGTGTACTCAGTACAGCAGGAAGGGCCCTGAAGCTGTTGTAGATAAGAAACAGCCTGATACGCGTTGCGCTGCATCTACTAGCAGCAACTAATGCTATAAGATAGCCACAAGCAAGAGAACAACAAAGCCCTATTTGCTGCATGCACCAATCCTGTAGACAGTCGTTAACAATTTACTGGGGTGTTGACTGCACGCCTCTAGGGAGATACACATACTAATTAGACATCTATATATATATATATATAATGTTACAACAAACAGCAGCTGCCAGTGCTGCTGCAGCCGCTGCATATATATATATATATATATATATATATATAATGCTACAAAAAACAGTAGCTGCCCCTGCTGCTGCAACTGCTGCAGCAGCTGCTGCAGCTGCAGCTGCAGCTGAAGCTGCTGCTGCAGTGGCTGCAGAATAATACTTTTATTAATTTTGGTTATGTAAATTGTTCTTCATAAATAAACTCTGAAAGACACACGCGGAGGGGGACAGACAAATAATACATCTTCGACGTTGCACTAAAATATAGTATTAGCGTAGAAATAAAGCAAATTTTAATTAAATAATTTTATAGTTGCCGTAGACAATATACTTTCTTATTTTTATTTGTTGCATGCAGTCGAAATAATCTGAAAAGAAGCCAGCAGTTGCAGCCGCATGCGCTGCCGAGCTGCTGCTGCTGCTGCTGCTGCTGCTGCTGCGTTGTTTGGGGGGCCTGTCTCGGGTTAAAGGGTATTTATAAACTTTGTTTGTGCATTTTAATGACAAGATATGAGTGAAAGGAGAGGAAGAGATTTAATTATGCTGCTATTAACATCTCCTTGCAGCAGAAACAAGCAGCAGCAGGTCTCGCGCTAGCGATCGCATGCAGCCTGCTGCTGCTGCAGTTCTGACGGGGTGTATCTGCAGCTGCTGCAAACCGTTTTGTCTCTTGACTGCATACGAGCGACGAACGCCTACAGTCTGCATACAAAACTGCAGCAGCAGCAACAGCAGCAACAGCAGCAACAGCAACAGCAACCAGCAGCAACCGGAGGAGCAACAGCAACAGCAGCAACAACTGCAACAGCAGCAGCAACCGCAGGAATAGCAACCTCAAGAGCAGCAGCAGCAGCAGCACTCGCAACAGCAACGACAACAGCAGCATCACCAGAAGCAGCAACAGCAGAGGCCAAAGCCAAAGCCACAGCAGCACGAACGGCAGGAGCAGCAACAGCAAAAGCAACAGCAGCAGCAGCAGCAGCAGCACTGATGGGCCCTTCTCCTTTCTCGCCTGATGTGGCGCTGCACAACTACTGGCAGGTCCGGGTGTTGCTGCAGCCTACTGTCTCTACACCTCCTTCGTTGTTCTCTCGTTTTGCTGTTTGTCTTGCTTCACGCTTCTCATCTGTCTCTCATGCAGCACTTCCTCTTGCTGCAGGCGACCCCCTGGTGGCCCCCTTCTCTTCTGCTTCTGCTGCTGTTGCTGCTACAGGACCAGCATCAGCAGCAGCAGCAGCAGCAGCAGCAGCAGCAGCAGCAGCAAACACCCCTAGGGAGAAAGCTCGCTTTCTTTGTCTCTCCTTCGTCACCCCACAATATGCAAACAGTGAATGGGGAGATCTCTATTTGCA